ATACTGTTTTTAAAGAACAACAAAACAAATGTATATTAACTTCACGCTTTCAGTCATGAAAAAAACATGTTTATAGTGGAGAAAATGCTGGAACAGTAGGTAAGACTTGTGTTAAATCAATGAAAACAACTCACTGCCGTCAAGTTGGAGCCGACTCATAGCGACCACTCCTTGGGTTTCCGAGGTATCACTGAGAAAGCAGATTTGTTGCACACCAGGGTTTGACTATGAGCAAGATGCTACCCCCTCTTTGTGCTTAACCTGGGAGATAAAAATAATAAGGGGGACACTGTCCATCTAACTGAACTCTTCTGACGATTTTATGAGAAAAATCTGTCTGCAACTGCTACATGATCCTATTAGGTCACATTTGGGGGTTTTCACTCAGAATGAGAGTTACAAGTATCTGAGTTGTTTCAAACACATTTCTATGCAAAATATAAGTCAATATAGACTGATTATAGGTGAGGATTTTTTTTCTTTTTTTTTGAACTCTATGTTCATTTACTGAGAATTTATCACTTTTTCTTCAATATCCATCCATTCATTTATATTTAAAAAAAATGGTATAGCAGACACTTCCAACAGTTCTGTTTCATTAGCATTACCACTGTCAGTAAAAGCTGAGGATTTTCAGTTGACGACACTGCCCTAAATCTGGAGAGAAAGCAGATGGCACTGTGTGTACATGTGCTTGCTTACACAAGTGTTTGCATGTGTGTTTGTGGGTGTGGGTATTCCCCACACTCATACATATCCAGTCAGATGATATTACAAAAGAAAAAGAAGATATTTTCTAGAATTTCAAGGCAACTAAAAGGATATGTAGGGAAGTAGAGCCACAAAGACTTTTGTATATTTTCTTTGCACCAGCAGTATATGCTCTTTAATTGGTATAAATATGAAAACAAAACAAACCACTCTTAAGATTATCTGGTGGTTTCTAAGTTGCAATTTAGTGATATTGTTTATACCAGCATCTATTTTTTCCTCCAGAGCCCCTTGAAAATGAGAAACACATTTTTATTTTACATCCATCTTCTTTAAAATCAAAAAATAAAATAAAAATAAAAAATAACTCTCATGGCCTCTGGGAGGTTAACTCTACCAAATTGGGAAAAAGAAATTTATTTTTGTTATTTGTTCTTTTCTAATCTGTAAAATAGGAATGCAGTGGAATCAGTTCTGACTCCTAGTGACTCCCTGTGTGCAGCAGAACGGACCTGTACGATTTCTCAAGGCTGTGACCTTTGAGAAACAGATTACCAGATTTGTTTCCCAAGGTGCCTCTGTGTAGGTTTGAACACCAATTGTTTGGCTACTAATCAAGCATTTAACTCTTTGTTCCATCCAACTGTCAAGATAGGAATAATGGCATTTAATTCACAGAAGTATTATAAAGTTTACATTGTAATACGAAACAATAAATATGACACTCAGCGTTTATTGAGAGATTCCTATGTGACACTGTGCTAAGGAGTTTGCTTTCATTTTATCATTTATTCTCTTACCCAAACATTTTGATGCAATTTCTATTATCATCATTTTGCAGCAGAGAAAATGAAGCTTACATTATAAGCAGTCCCTGAATTATAAGTCTCATTTCTAAATCTGTCCTTATTGAATTAGTATGTAAATTGGAGCAGTTACGTATAAGTTCATATCTAAGGCCAGTTAGTCAAATGATTGTCTTAGTGTATAGTATATATGCATACAGCACATTAAAGAAACACTTTCAGATACACTAAAATATCTTTAACATAATTAGCAGTAATAATAATAGTATTTTGATATACTTCCCAAAGTAGTGTCCACTTCTTATTATGAATTGTTTTAAGCACCTCAAATTTTTAATATAATCAGATTTACAAGAGTTGGTTTGTAACTACAGTTTGTAGGTAAGTCAGGCATTCATAACCTGGGGATTGCCTGTCTTGCCCAAGGTTAGCATTGTTGAAAGTGGCAAACCTCGGGACCATCACTGCAACCTTTACTATATGTGTAAGAGCTATTATAAATGTAAACTATATCTATGCCTTATGTATTGATATGAGTCGAAGCCTGTTTTCTTAGCAATATTTGAATACATGTAATGAAGAAGATAAATTAATAGGGACAGCATTCTCAAGCATGTATAACCTATAAGATATAACCAGAATGATAAATGACACTTAAGTCTTGATATTTATTTTCTGGACTTTATCCTTACATTTCATGGCATCTTTCTTTAGGTATGATTGCTTAATTTGTCTTTTGGTTTATCCTTACAGAAGTACTGCTGCTAATGTTACAGCTGGTTTTAGTAAACAACACTGGGGGAGAAAAAGCCATTGTGCAACCTACAGCCCCTTCCAGACTGTGTTTATATACAAAGTCTGTTGTTTAATTGAAAGTTGAAACTGCTGCTGGCAGTTTGATTCATTTGTGCGTCTGTCTTTTTTATTCTCTTTTCTTGGTTTTGTTTCTCTCACATGGGATCATATCCTCACTTAATGCATGTCCTTATTGTATGTCTGCTGTTCTTTGCTTTCCAGCAATTGATATTTACATGTGGTTACTTTCTATGAGCACCAACCTTTTTTTTTTTTTTTGAAATATCTTGTTATAGTTGCCTTGTTATGACAAATTTTGGGTCTTAACCAATTACCTTGCAGAAGTAGAGAAACACTGTGATTTGCAAGCTAAATTTCAATAGTTTTTGAACGCCAATTATTTATAGTCCTGCTTGTCTTCTCGACATTTCAAAAATTGATCACCAGTATTTTCTTCCTTTTAATAATACTAGTGGATTTTTAATGATATCTTGTTGTAGTTTTATTTTGCATTTCTATGATAACTAATGCTATTGAGGACTTTTTTATGTGCCTAATGGCACATACAACAACAACAATGACAGTTTGTTCCTATGCCTTTAGGAAGTAACTGTTCAAATCACTTTTCCATATTTTAATTAAGGTGTTGGTTTGTCTTTAATATTGAGTTGCAGAAGTCCTTTTGTAATTTTGATATCATTATTTAACAAATATATACACTGCAAATATTTTTTTCCAATCTGTGGTTTCATTTTTCATTTTCTTTCACTCTGGTAGCATAGTGGCTAAGGCACTTGACTGCTAACCAGAAGGCTGGTAGTTCAAATCCACCAGCCACTCCTTGGAAGGAAGATGGGGCAATCTACTTCCGTAGTGATACTGCCTTGGAAACCCAAGGAGGGGTCGCTATGAGTCGGGTCCGACTCGACGGCACATAACAGCAACAAAACAATCTTTTGATAAGCAAATATTTTAAATGTTGTATAAGTCCAATATTTTAATATTTAATTTTACTATTAATTATTGCTTTTTAAGCTGCTTCTGAGAAA